ACCTTACCTTGTAGGGAAAGAAAATAACTCATGCTGCGGCAAATTTTAAGCCCTGTAAAACTGCTCCACGCACAGAATATATGTACTTGCGCATCCCATTAGAAGACAAGTGGACACCGTCCCTACACAAATTTTCAGAGACGCCATCTTTAAGGCCCTTATGGCGCCAAAAGAAACACACCGTGGAACCCATACAGCGTTGTTTTAAGGCAGAATTGACGAAATCCACAGATTCATTGTAAATAGTCACAGGTGTCACTCGAGTTGTCCGACGATATAATAATTGTAGGAACCCCACACGTTTGATGCCAAAACCAGTAACTAACCACTGGGCTATCGAAAATAGGTCAGTCACAAGTGTGCCCTTAACCCGCACATTGTCAGCACAATCTAGGTCATTGCCACCGATTTGTAATAAAACCACCGAAGGCTGAACTTGTTGAATAGTATCAGAAATACAACGAGCGTAAAGATTAGGAATCTTACCGCCACTTTTGCCAAGACACAAGACTTGTAACTGATCCGGGTCAAAACCTAGATTTGTCCATGAACCCGTAAGGCTATCATCCAAACGGCGAATAAAACTGTGACCCAAAACGATAACTGACGACATTACAACGTACAGTCAAGTACATAAAGTTTATCTTGTATATACTAAAATCTGTGATCAGATAAAACAATACAAAACTTTACAAGTTGAAGTAAAATTGACCTTGACCGTACGAACCTTGTTCCGCCATTTTCTTTTATCAGCTTCTGAATAGGAGCTGCTGCGTCATTTGTATTTATAGTGATCCAATTATAGCAACATATCAATGCGCGCATGTAACATGTCGGACCGCATCACTCATACCCCAACATACCTCCTTCCGCAAATAAAAATAGTTACATAAAAGCATGTAAGTCTGACTGCATAAATTACATTAAAACAAGTTTTAATTTGTATTTAGACAACTAACCAGTTTATATTAAATAAAGATACATAATATTATAAATAATACATTTAGTATATATGTGAAATATGTTAACTTGAATACATTTTTGTAGCTTGTTTCATGCCAAATGAGTTGAAATCTATTGTAAAATGATAAGATTTTATATACTGAAGTTATTATATATGTAATTATTTGTTGTTGATATTGGTAAATAAACTATATAGCTAATAGGTTATGACTTGGAAACTGATGTACAGTATATAACTTTTGCTCACTACTTAAACATTTTGTCATTTCATTTCCTACGTTAACTCATGTGACCTTGGCACTGGAATCTCAATGTAAGTTCGATTATATGTATACATTTCCCCCCTTTAGTTCATGTTAAGAAAGGGAGATAATTTCGATCCAGTGCTATTTTGTGGTGTTACAAGTATGATTGGTTTCAGGTGTGGTCAAATAAAAGGAAACATTGTGAACATAACTGTAAGGTATACTACAGTGTAAACAAATTGTCAACTCTGTATAGTGGAGATGAACAAAATCTGTATGATGAGAGGACTTACTTGTATGTATAACAATATGCCCAAACATGTATATTATATTTGTGTATTTGTCTTTTTTGTATGTTTTTTCTCTTTCCTTTTTTCTGTTGTCAGATTTGTCATGTAGAGTTAGAGAAAGATTTGGCAAAAAATGGAAGGAGAAATCTGGAAATATAATTACTGTCTTGAACACGGGTGCATATTACAGCTATTCATTTTCCATTATTTTGTTTTTACCTGATTATAAAAATAACTTAATTTTCTTAATTGTGATTTTTTCAAGCAAGTATATTGGGGGTCTATTAATAATTTTATAAACATTAGTGGAGGAAATTAGTATCTAATCAGCAGATTGTCAGGGTTGAAGTGACAAGGTTAAACGTAAGGATGTATTTACATATTTGAGAGATAGAAAATACAATATCTATTGTCTTCAAGACACACCTTTTTACTGAGGAAAAGGAAGATCTTATATGGAATGAGTGGGGCTATGATTGTAATTTTGATAAATAACAACTCTGAAGTAAAGGTACTGAAAGGAAAGAAGGATTTGACAGGGAACGTTTTGGCACCGGATTTAGAAATTGAGGGGAGAAAACTTACTCTGATAACTATTTATGGTCCTAACTGTAATAGCCCTGCTTTCTTTGAAAACACTGAGAAATTTGTTCACGACTTTAAAAATGATCATTGTATAAAATGTGGCGACTTCAACTTGGTTCTTAATCCTGATTTAGATTACGATACAAATTACAAACAAATTAACAATCCAAAGGCAAGGGAAAAGGTTTTAGAAACAGTAAAGAATTTAGATTTAGTTGATATATTTAGAGAGCAATATCCTAATACAAAAAGATACACATGGCGAAGAAGTAGACCAATAAAACAAGCTAGGATTGACTATTTTTTAGCATCTTGAAGTTTAATTCAAAGTGCAAGTAATACAAGTGTTAATTCGGGATCTAGATCTGACCATTCCATCCCAAAAATTACATTAAAGTTCAGCGAATTCAAAAAAGGTAAAGGGTTATGGAAATTTAATAATTCTTTGTTGCATGACCAGGAATATCTTAACCTTGTTAACAATACAATAGCAACTATATAAGCTCAATACCCATCTATAATCCTGAAGTTATCAACAATATTCCTGATACAGATTAACAGTTAATAATAGATGACCAATTATTTTTAGAAACTTTGTTAATGGCAATAAGAGGCAAATCAATTTCTTACTCGTCATATAAAAAAAGCAAATTAACTTAAGAGAAAATGATCTACTAGATGAAATTCAGAAGTTGAAAATCAGAATGATATAAATGTGGAAGAGTTGAGTAGAAAAACATTAGAAAGCATAGGGTGAAGGGAAGTATAATTCAAGCAAAAGCTTTATGGATGATAGATGAAGGAGAAAAACAAACAAATTATTCCAAAGGTGCAAAGGGAAAATGGGGAATTAATAACAAAACAAGATGATATTTTAAAAGAAGTAAAAACATTTTATGGAAAATTATACTCCACTGTTGATAACGATGTTGAAGAAATGAATTTAGATGACATCCTAGATTTTGATGTACCAAAACTGAATAAAGTAGAAGTTGACAGTTTAGAAGGATTAATAACACTAAAGGAGGCATCTAAAACCCTTAGAAACATGAAAAATAACAAAAGCCCGGGTTCAGACGGATTTACTTCAGAATTTTGTAAATGTTTTTGGAAGCAGCTTGGCCACTTTGTGGTTAGGTCAATAAATTATGGTTATTTAACTGATCACTTATCTGTTACTCAACGTCAAGGCATCATTACTTGTATAACTAAGGCAAATAAATCAAATTTTTTTATGAGAATTTGGCGGCCTATCTCTCTTAAATATTGTGTACAAAATTGCATCTGGATCTATAGCTAGTAGACTTAAATTAGTTTTAGAAAAATTGATAAACTCGGATCAGACAGGTTTCATATCAGGACGTTATTTAGGGTTAAATACTAGGCTCATCTATGACATCATGCAATATGCCGAAGAAAATAATATCCCTGGAATGCTATTATTAATTGATTTGAAAAAGCGTTTGATTCGGTTTCTTGGAAATTTATAGATAAAGTTCTTAAGTACTTCAAATTTGGAAATTATTTGAGAAATTGGGTAAAAATATTACATTCTAATCCTTGTTCTGCAATTGACCAGGGGGAAACTTATCATCTTTCTTTAATATAAAACGGAGCTGTCGCCAAGGCGATCCAATCGCACCATACATTTTTTTTATACTTTGTGCCGTGATATTGGCAATGCGAATAAAAAATAATAGAAATATTACTGGTATCAATTTTGATGACTGTCAGATTCTAAATTCTTAATATGCAGACGACACTTCTTTAAAACGAGATGAAAGGGATCTGTTGAGGAACTAAATTTGTATGCTAACATTTCTGGTCTAAAAGTAAATAAAAGTTAAACCCAAATTGTTCGGATATGTAGCAAAAAGTATAGTAGTGATGTACTTCTTCCAGATATGAATTTTCAATGGGGGGTTGACAAGTTTACATTTCTTGGTATTGAATTTAATGTAGGTTTACACAGAACTCCTAAAATTAATTTCGATAAAAGACTAGTTAAACTTAATTCTTTAATCATAGGATGGAGTAAAAGATTATTATTATATCTATTGGGTGAATTAACATAATTAAGTCTTTATTAGTTTCACAGATGAATCATCATTTTATCTCCTTACCAAATCCAGATTAAAGTTTCATAAAGCAGCTTAACTCAATTCTTTTCAATTTTTAATGAATAGTAAAAATGACAAAGTTAAGTGTGAGGTAATTATTCAGAATTATTTAGATGGGAGGCTTAAATTGGTAAACATATTGTCTGTGTGTCTGTCTCTCTATCTCTCTGCTTGTCTATGTCTCTGTAGATTTTGCGTATGTCAGTATCTGTTGTTTTCTTTGATAGCAATGATGATGATGATGATGATGATGATTATGGCTTAGAAGAAAATAATGTGTTTTTTGTTTGTTTTCTATGTGTTTGAATATGTCATAGTTATGTCAAAAGT